TATGCAGCAGGGTTGGCCCAGGGTTTGTTTTTTTCACGACCGCATAACAAATAAAATCCGTAAAAATATCCACGTCAAAGGGCACGGCTCTCAGCCCGGGGCCTGATCTTTGCTTGTGTCGAACGGTACACGCGGAGACACGTGTCTCCGTGTCACAGTCGGTGGGTGCGGGCAGAACGGTGAGGAGACCGCGAGGTGCCCAATATTTGGGGAAAACCTCGCGGCGACATCGGCCCCTTACTGCCAGACGAATGGCCATTGCATGCCAGTGCTACTAACACCTAATTCAACAGCGAAAGGTGCCACTGCGGGTCAGCTTGATTAGACCTCCATCAGGGCATTGGAATGGTTGAAATGATATATGATGCAAGGCGCTTGAGTTATCGACACATTTTAGCAAGCGCCACAATTCACGCACATCCTTATACAGTACTTTGTAAGGGATATAATAGTACGTGGATTACACGTGGTTGAAGTGTGTGACTGAACGGCATTGGAAGCACTCAGACGTGAATTATGAAAGTTGCGGTGTCAGGATCAGATTCTGCCAAGGCTTCCTCAACAGGTGGAGATACAAATGACAAATAAACTCCGTATAGCCTTAACAGACTATGGGCAAGTGTTGTTAGCGAGAACGGTACACGAGGGGTGGGTGGCCAAGACCACGCCCAACCACCTTTGTCTCCCCAGTGGCGATGTTTTAACACACCTCACTAGGTACTCATTTGAAGCTGAGTCGACCTAGGGGAGGCCCAGGGCCGTTTCAGATAATCGTCACTGGTGTTAGCCGTGAGCGGGAACAACATTCGGGTCGCAGGATTCGTGTTGCAACGTGCTAACCTATACACTACAGCGGAGAGACGGACACACACACTCATGTCGATCAACCCACACAACTCTCTCTGTGTACCTACACGCGAGTTATTGCTAGTCTATGCCCATAAACTGTAGACAATATTCTTGAAGTAGCTCACGAATGTGAAAACAGAGGTCAGCTTAGGATTTGTTAAAAATACACGAACTAGGGATGGAAATGTCATAAACATCAACCGACGTAATAATGTCTCCATTGGTGTCTTCATGGGAACAGACTCAAGCGAGGGGAGCTGGTTGGTGGCAACGTTGGACTAAATGTGGGTGACTGGTTATTGCCGATCAAGGGGAGTTTAACCTTTGGCGGCGCCCCGCCGGTCAGTGCCCCGCCGGTCAGTGCCCTCTGTGGGGAAGGAAGGAGCGTGGTCCACCATCGCTGATGGTAAATTGTCAGCGTCTTGCTGTGTGACGCAGGGAGTGCAAATGACGCGCTTGAGAGGCTGCTCGACGGGTGCGGTTTCGAGCGATCTCAACTTTTTACGGACTCAAAGTTGAACGTATTTATTACATTTGTATTTTATTGCAATGCGGCAGGATGAGCTATTTTTTTATCATTCGAGTGTTTGTGAACTCGGTAAATTAAACATTAATGGAACGATCTTGATTTGAAGTTTCGTGACTGCAGAAATCCATACTCTTTGGTTCTTTCGGTAAAGTAACGTAGATAGAAAAATAATAGATCTCGACGTTTCGATCGCAAGAACAAGCGACCGTCGCTTGTAGTTGCGGTCGAAACATTGTGATCTATTATTTTTTATACATTACGTGACTTTACCGAAAGAACCAAAGAGTTTCGATTTAAAGCTTTCGTGACTGCAAGGATTCATCTTCTTTGGTTCTTTCGGTACAGTCACGTAGAATGAGAATAAAACAATAAAATAACACAATAAAATTCTCACGACGTTTCGGCCACAACACAAGCGGCCGTCTTCAGGTGAAAGGAACAGACCTGTCGGGATGACAGAGCTTCATTGAACGATGTTAAGATTCGTAGCAACTTTTAAGCTGGTTGGGAGAAGTGAGGCACCTTGACAAAGGAGTTTACATATCAAATAGCTGAGGGATTAGCTTGTGACTGGTCACAGAAATGGCTATGTTAAAGTCAAAACCTACACATCCACAGAGGCAACTAGTAATTTAGCATTGAAATAGCTAAGGGATTAGCTTGTGCAAATAGCTGAGGGATTAGCTTGTGACTAGTCACAGAAATGGCTATGTTAAAGTCAACCTACACATCCACAGAGGCAACTAGTAATTTAGCATTGAAATAGCTAAGGGATTAGCTTGTGACTGGTCACAGAAATAGATGTTAAAGTAAAGGCCTACACATCCACAGAACATAAAGCAGACTTGAAACACGGCAGAACGAACTCCTCTGCCGTGGCAGATCACTGTCATAATTCAGTGGGCTCACATGACATTAACTTATCCAAGACAGAGGTTCTTTGCAAACCAACCGGCTACCATGAGAGATTCGTTCATGAGGCCATCCACATATACAAACACAGAGACAATTTCAACCGAGAAAATGGATTTTGGCTTAGTAACCATTGGAAAGATGTTTTAAACCATTTCGGTTCTTAATTAATTGTATTTTACGAGGACCTTCAGACCGCAGTTCTTTCGCTGGCACTGACTCTTAATACCTCTCACACCACGGTTAATGGTATGGTTTATAACATGGAGTATAACAGCGCCTCGCAGCTGTTTCTCCCCTCCTTCCTCCTCCGCTCCGACCATGGATAGACTCGTCCGTCTGAACGGGACGCGTAGCTGTCCGTGGTGCTGAAGTGGAAGGTAAGAATCCACCCGTTTTTTCACCATATAACATTGTAATATAACATTGAGGTAGTTTATATTTTAGTTTTTATTAGTTTACTATATGGTATTCATTATATAGTGTAGTGTATACCCAGTTAATGTTAATAGCTCAGCTTATTGAAGAATATATTGAGTACATTTATTATATTGATGTAATTTAGAATTAGGTTTTTCACATCAGTTTACTGTATGAAAGTTGAGTTGTTGCAGCCCCCTTTGGCGTCCATTTACGAGGTGCCTCTGTGGATGTGTAGGCTTTGACTTTAACATCTATTTCTGTGACCAGTCACAAGCTAATCCCTTAGCTATTTCAATGCTAAATTACTAGTTGCCTCTGTGGATGTGTAGGTTTTGACTTTAACATAGCCATTCCCGTGACCAGTCACAAGCTAATCCCTCAGCTATTTGATATGCAAACCCCCTTTTGTCAGGGCCTCACTTCTCCCAACCAGCTTAAAGTCGCTACGAATCTTAACAGCGTTTATTGAAGCTCTGTGGATGTGTAGGCCTTTACTTTAACATCTATTTCTGTGACCAGTCACAAGCTAATCCCTTAGCTATTTCAATGCTATGTTAGTAGTTGCCTCTGTGGATGTGTAGGTTTTGACTTTAACATAGCCATTTCCGTGACCAGTCACAAGCTAATCCCTCAGCTATTTGCACAAGATAATCCCTTAGCTATTTCAATGCTAAATTACTAGTTGCCTCTGTGGATGTGTAGGTTTTGACTTTAACATAGCCATTTCTGTGTCCAGTCACAAGCTAATCCCTCAGCTATTTGCACAAGCTAATCCCTTAGCTATTTCAATGCTAAATTACTAGTTGCCTCTGTGGATGTGTAGGTTTTAACTTTAACATAGCCATTTCTGTGTCCAGTCACAAGCTAATCCCTCAGCTATTTGCACAAGCTAATCCCTTAGCTATTTCAATGCTAAATTACTAGTTGCCTCTGTGGATGTGTAGGTTTTGACTTTAACATAGCCATTTCTGTGACCAGTCACAAGCTAATCCCTCAGCTATTTGATATGTAAACCCCCTTTGTAAAAGTGCCTCACTTCTCCCAACCAGCTTAAAAGTCGATACTAATCTTAACATCGTTCATTGAAGCTCTGTCGTCCCGACAGGTCTGTTCCTTTAACCTGAAGACGGCCGCTGGCGTTGTGGCCGAAACGTCGTGAGAATTTTATTGTGTTATCTTATTGTTTTATTCTCATTCTACGTGACTTTACCGAAAGAACCAAAGAAGATGAACCAAAGAGTATTAATGGAACGCTGTTATATACGATACATTCAATGGTGCCGTTTGGTTGTGGGTGTTTGCTTCGCAACCGTGGCAACAAAAATAAATGATTCCATGTGCTGAACTTGGCCGTACCACCGTTCCCAGGAGACATCACAGCGATGATGCTACACCACTCCGCTACTCCTGACGCGCTTATCTGCTGGCTTGACCACCTGGATGTGCGGTCGTAGTCGTTGCTCTGCATCTACATCAGCAGCCCCACGACAGGAAGAAAGTTTAGGACACTTGGCACGCGAATTGTACTGCTGAAAAACTTTTGTTTATGAGAAGCAATACTTTGTTTTTGTTTTAATGGCCCCCAGTGCTCGTCTTTATTCTTTTTTTACCTTTCACAAAAATGTGGTCGTTAAAGTTTTAAAACTTTGGAGCAGAGGATTATAAAACGTGGATGGCGAGAAGAGCGAGAAGTGGGGGGGGGGGGGGCTGGTGGCGCGAGGCCGTCACGTGACTACCCTTTTACGACAAGTCCGGATAATTTGCCTTTTATGAAACAGCCCCGGGTACATTTAATGTTTAAACAACAAAAAACACTTCGTCTTTTCTAACGTAGTCGCGAGAAGTAGCCGCCGTCTTCACGATCAGAGACATTTTAATATTCAATTAATTCCATACCTTAATACAGGTTTTTAGGGGGGGTTGGATCGCGTAAATATTTAAATATGTCCTTAAACCCGCCACCACCCGACACAGCCAATTAGTAAGGTTTGTCACGTAAACAGAACATGCCAATTCGTTACTAGTACAGCACACCGGTGTGTTGGAGAGCCAAGCCACAACATTTACAATCTACAGCCAAATTCCATACCGTACCATACCTGTCAATCCCTTATTAGTGCCCCTACCTTATTACACACCAATTCAGAGCTTATTGGTCACCTCGTGCTTTTATAAATCTCAACATTCAGCCAACAAAGTCCCATCACAAGGGAAAAACACAAATAGACAAACTTGTTTTTTGCCCGGATTGAAACGGCTGTACGCTGGCCCTGAGAACTCCATTTCCCTGTACAAGAAGACGGGTAAACCGTCTGGGTTGACAACTACGTAATTCACATTGTCTTCGGTTTGCTGGAGTCGAAGAGCCTCAACGTCACCTCATCAGTGGCGTTGCCTTCTCAAGAATGTCGGCTCACGCCACCTGCCCTGCTCCCCGTAAAGTTCGCCATTTAATGTTCGCGTTAAACATTTGCGCACGGGAGGGGGGTGGAGGAGGACGGGGGATTTACAGCTCCGAGCCCCGACTATAAGGGGCCACGGCTTCTTCGGCAGCGGTGAGTGCGGCCTCCCGTGAGCGGCGAGCAGCAACCAAGATGCCGTACGAAGACTACGAGGCCGCGTCCTACTCCACCGTCATGCTCCGCTACTCCGCGACGGGGAACGTGTGGGCGTGCGACTCCAACGCGACGCTGTGCGAGGGCACGTCGTGCCTGGAGCCCGTGGGAAGCCACAACCAAGTGCTCAACTTCACGCTGAGCATCGTGCTCACGCTCATGCTGGCGCTGGTGATGTTCGCCATGGGCTGCACGGTGCAGATTCACAAGGTGATTGCTCACCTTCGCAATCCGTGGGGGATCATCATCGGGTTCGTGTGCCAGTTCGGCTTCATGCCCCTCACGGCCTTCGCGCTCGCCATAGCCTTCAAGATCGAGCCCATTCAGGCCATCGCCGTGCTCATCATGGGCTGCTGCCCCGGCGGAACGACCTCCAACATCATCACCTACTGGCTGGACGGGGACATGGACCTCAGGTGCGTGCGTCCGCGATGATGCGCACTCCCGAGTGTCCGTGAGGCTGCGCAACTCCCCGTTGAGTGGGGAAATTTGAGCACATCACATATATATTTCGTTCCCTGCTTTGCCTTCCAGCAAACTAGAGGATCGAATTGAAAGTTCTTGTCTTGGCCTTCAAGGTCCTGAAAAGGGATGGTAGCTCCATTACATCTGGGTGAACTGCTGAAGCCGTATGCTGCCCCTGTCCGGCAAATTTTATCCACCAAGTCCGGGTACCCTGAGTGGTACCAAGAACAAATCTGTGTTTAATGGGTGGCAGAGCTTTCAGTAGTTGTTATGGACTCACCGTCAGTCGAGGGTTTTAGAGATCGTGTGAAAACCACATTTAATTTTCTTTTGCATATCCCACACCTGTCAACCTCTTATCAGTGCCTACCTCATTACAGACCTATTTAGACCCTATTGGTCGCCCCGTGAGCTCATAAATCTCAACGTTTATCCTACAAAGTCCCATCACAAGGGAGAAACACACATGGGCAAAATCATGTTAATGCCCTATTGAAACGGCTGTACGCCGTATGGACCTGAAAACTCAATTTCCATGTACAAGAATACGGGGTAAACCGTATGGGGTGACACGGTATTGGTATACTTCTCTGTAAGCGGTTGTTTTCTTTTAGTTTTAACGTTCAGGCTTTTTTTACTGGGATTGTGTTGTAAAGCGCTGTGACGCCTTGTGTGAATGGCGCTCTGTACAGCTGAGATTTACTTAATAATACTAATCGCAGAAGAGACTGCACGGGAGGGGTTCGAGACGCAATAGGCCGGCTCGTCGTTCTGGGGCAGACGCCTTACTAGAAGAGGAGCGAGTTCCCACACTTTACCCCACCAAACGCAATCTATCGACCAACTAACTCGTGTACACATTTATATATTCTGCTGGGCGGAGAGAGGAGCGGGAGGGTTTAATGTGAAGGCCTCTGTCAACCCATTGCTGTAGGAAGGCCCTCTACTAGCGGCCTAAGCTTGCTTTAAAAAAATATTTATATTCACCACACACAATACACCATACCTGTCAATCTATACGGTTTACCCGTGTTCTTGTACAGGGAAATTTTGTTTTCAGGTCCATACGGCCGATTCAATACGAGCAACACTATTTTTTGTTTGTGTTTCTCCCTTGTGATATGACTTTCTAGGATGCACATTGAGATTTACAAGGGCACGGGGTGATCAATAAAGTCTGAATTGCTCTAATAAGATAGGCACTGATATACTGCACGCATTGTTATTAGTATGAACGTAGAGCCATATTTATAAAGTCTGAAAAGCTTCCAGATCCGCCTGTGATTTGCACTGATTTAGATGGAGCATTACTGGCGATAAACAAGCTCACAGTATGTGGAGTGAAACATCGGACACCACGCCGAACACCAAGCGGTTGATCCCGCAAACACGCGGCGCGATAGCACACTCGGATCCACGTCACCTGCGGGTTCTCAGCAGCACGCATATCCAGAACAAGAAACCCTGTGGACTGGTTTCCACCTTGTGTGTCTCATCAGCAGAGTGCGGCTTGTGAAACAAATACTGTGCTGCTTGGTTGCCAGCATGTTGTTGGCATCTGGCGTATGTCCATGAAACATTGGGAGTTCACCAGAGTTTTACCGAACTAGAATTTCGGCGGCCTACAAGCAACGGCCGTCGAAATTATCGCTCCTGCGGAGGAATTCTCAGCGCTTCGCACCTCGCCCGTCAATCCCACTGATGTCCCCCCCCCCCCCCCCCCCAATGTGTACAGATACTACTGACTCTATTGTATGTAGGGTGTGTAGGCATATATGCCTAGAAAATAAAAATGGGGGGTGATCAACAATTGTGCATCTGATGGATTAACTTTTTACCCCCACATCTGGGGATGGAGGGGGGTCTCATTTTCTATAACTTTTAGATTCAGACCTTCTGAAAGGCTCTTATAATTTAGTTGACGGAGAAATGTCGGGCTTGTATAACAATAGATTGCCCAGACGTATTATTTTGCTGCTATAAATGTCCACACGATAAGCCACTTTGTTGAGCTATCATTTGTGGCCGGGTCGATTCTGGAAAAATAAGTTTCGTAACTCTGCGGGCTTTAGCTCAGTGAGAAGAGCGCCCGGTGCGGGTCTCAGCCAGCGCGGCCTCTCGCCGGCTCTGGCCGCTCTCAGTCCCCGCCAGTCACGACACCATAGCAGATGCAGATGCCTGCATATGTTGAACTTCTTTCGCACCGTACGTAGCCAACCGTGCTAATCGGAGGTTTGGGGGAAGGACAACAAACTAAACACAGCAAAAAAATGTTTTAAAGAAATAGTAGTTTTCAATCTAGATGATGATTTAAAAGTGCATAGCTCCAAGTGGCTTCCTAATACCGGAAGAGCGTTCCAGGCGGCCGCAGAAACGCATCCGAAAGCTGAGCACGGGCCCACACGGGCGTCGTCATACCTTGTACGATTATGTAAATGAGTATAACAATAGCTATTTCCTTCTGCTCAAATGGTCATTGAGCAGTTGATGCTCATCATCCGTTTACATTCATATGGCGGGGCGAGTTTATCCAAAAGACGACCACCAATAACCTTCCCACAAAGTGGCACTTCACTTTATCGACTCCCGGAGGAGTGATGGGATGAGTGAAGTCCCAGCCCGGATTTACAATCGTGGCCTTCCAATTCGCAGCGAGGCCGCTTGCTGCACCGCTGAGCCACGCGGCCGACAAAGAGCGCGGAGATCCGCGTTGACATCGCGAGCGATGGCGTCATCCCCTCGCCCCTGCTGGGTTTCAGTGATGTGTGCGTGTTGAACTTCTCTCGCACCGTACGTAGCTAATCATGCTAATCGGATGTGTGGGGGAAGGGCAACAAACTATATGGGTCTCTGTGCGAGTCTATGGGTCTCTCTGTGAGTCCTATATAAGTATGTATGTTGAACTTCGCTCGCACCGCACGTTGCTAACCATGCTAATCAGAGGTGTAGAGGAAGGGTAACAACCTATATGGGTTGTTATTTATGTAAGTCTATGGGTCTCTGTGTGAGTCTTTACGCGTAGCGACATGTCGCTCCGCGTAAACAAAGTTTAACCTTTACTTTAGTCAATGCTTTTACAGCCTCAGCATCTTTATATTCTTAGCTCTTTCGGTAAAGTCACGTTGAAGGGAAACAATAAAATAATAAAATATATAAGACAATAAAAATTCTCACGACGTTTCGACCATAACACAAACGGTCGTCATCAGGTGTGTCTGTTTGCATTAATTAATTTATTTTAAAACGGGTTATTTATTTATAAAACCGTCAGCGCAACGCGCAGCGATTTAGCAGTTTATTTAGAAGGCCTAGTCCATCTATGTTCTGAAAAGAGGAGGGGGGAGACGAAAAATTAATGTATGCTGTCTGAAAGCCACCGTAAGCGTGAACAATCAATTAAGACCTGAAATGGTTTATCAAATCTTTCCAATGATTGCTAAGCCAGAATCCATCTTCTCGGTTGAAATTGTCTCTGTGCTTGTATATGTGGATAGCCTCATGAGCGAATCTCTCATGGTAGCCAGATGGCTTACGAATAACCTCTGTCTTGGAAAAGTCAATGTCATGTGAGCCTACTGAATTATAACAATGATCTGCCACGGCCGAGGTGTTGGTCCTACCGTGTTTAAGGTCTGCTTTGTGTTCACGAATGCGGTCCGAGACATGGCGTTTGGTTTCTCCAATGTAACTACTACCACAGAGGCAACTTAGTTTGTAGACACCAGGGTACTGTATGTCCGGAATCACATCTTTTACAGACGGAACCAGATCACGGATTTTATGTAATGTGTTGAAACGGACCTGGATCTTGTGTTTCTTCAAGATTTTGGAGATCTTTTTTGTGATCCCCGCAATGTAGGGTAAAGTGATGGTTTTGAAAGGCTCCTCAAGAGGGTCCTTCTTCATGGTTTGAGTGATAGCTTTGCGGATTGTATAGTCGGAGTAACCATTAGCCTTAAGAGCTTGGTGTACGTGCTTGAGTTCACTGTCTATGTGTTCCTGGTCGGATATGCATTGGGCTCTATGGTACAGAGTCTTGATGAGAGAATTATTCTGTGATGGATGGTGGTGGGAATCCGGTTTCAGATAAGCATCCGTATGGGTAGCTTGCCTGTAGACAGAGTGGCTCATTGAACCATCAGGTCTCTTTTTTATTAGGACATCCAAAAAAGGTAGCTTGCCATCTTTTTCGACTTCCATGGTAAATCTGATGGCTGGGTGTATGGAATTGATGTGGTCGAAAAATTGGTCTAGAGCAGGCCGGCCATGTGGCCAGATGACAAAAGTGTCATCCACGTACCTCTTCCATAAGGTTGGGCGCAGAGTGGCAGTCTGGATGGCGTCAGTCTCAAATTTCTCCATGAAAATGTTAGCTATAACCAGAGATAGCGGGGAGCCCATTGGGGTGCCCTCAGTTTGTTTGTAGAAAGTTCCATTCCAAGTGAAGTATGTATTGGTTAATCAGTGTCTCACCAGGGGGGGTACCTCAGTGTTTAGTCCTTGATGAACCAAGTCTTCAATGATTGCGATGGTGTCAGGTACAGGAACCTTGGTGAATAAGGAAACTACATCAAAACTGACAAGCAGGTCGTCTGGGGACAGGGACATACCCTTGATTGTCGATACCAGGTGAGTATAATTTTGTACCGCAGAGGTGGTTTTTCCAGTGAAAGGATGCAGGATTTCAGTCACGAAAGCTTTAAATCAAAAGCCTCAGCATCGTTTTTATATTTTACAGAATTTACATCTAAGTAGTTTCATGCCGAGCTTCGCGTTTGATTGATATCCACAGTACATTTATTTCCATGGATTCGTCAGCCGAGGTTCTATCCACTGCTGGATGAAAGTCTCCCCAAGCCATCACCAGACCCCTCACAATCCCGCCATGTAACTGCGTGGATATCCACAGTACATTTATTTACATGGATTCGTCAGCCGAGGTTCTATCCAC